GAGAGAGAGAGAGAGAGCTGGGAAAGAGGTTATTCTCCCTCTTGTACACATTTTATTTTTAAATGATGGGTGAAAATCCCATAACCATTTGTGAAAAAGTTAGACTCACCGTTCCCTGCATTAAATACAATTTTGGGATTGTTGAATTTAAAATTTTCTCATTTTGATTGATGTATATTTAAGAATCTTGAAAGAATTCATGGAATGTGAATTTGAGTAATTAGTGTTTTCTTCTTTATTGATAATGCATATATTGCTCTCCCTTTTTTGTTGGATCTGCGTAATATTCATTTATTGCTTCTGTCCCTTTAAATATATGAAGAATATGGGTGTGTTGACTTGTTGACCAACCCCTATTGGATTGGGATTGCTTTCCCCCCAACATATGAATTCGATCAGACCGCGATCTACTCTTGGAGAGCCAAGTTGCATTCCTGGAGCGGGATTGCCCCCCATGTTAGTGGATCGTTGTAACTAAATTTTGAACTACCTTGGTTGGAATTGAGGTGTCTGTAAGATTTCAGAGGTTTTCTACGAAATGGTTGTGCTTGAAATTTTCGTGCTAGGCTCAAAGCCTATGGTTTATTTGATGCATCTTTAGCTGCATTTATGTTTTATGTGGATTGGGTTATTTCTTTAGAAGTACTATTCGTTGATATATATTAGTGATCATTTGATTTCTATGTACTATGTATGAGCATTTAAATCTTTAGATAAAGCACATGGTCATTGTGGTTTTGGGCCAAAAATTGCAGATCTTTTGGTTCTCAAGAAAAGACAAATTTGGCTACCAATCATGTAAAACAGGTCTCCATCTTCTATGCCACTGGAGCATGCTTCTAAGGTTGCAACAAGCAGGAAATAAAGTATCCATGCTATTCACAAATATAGATATGTTTGAATGAAGAGAGTTTGCTGGAATTTAAATAACTCAAGTACTTCAAAGGCATATGAGTGATAGCCTCCAGCTTTGTCATCTTCATCCAATTTTACCTTATTCAATCCAATAAATATCTCAATCGCATAGTAAATAAAAGAACAAATTCATCGAACACTTGTGCACAGTCTTAGAGTGAATGGATTAGGGGCTACCCTTCAATCTTCCCCACATAACTAATGCATTTTTTAGAGAGAGAAGCAAAAAAGAAGCGGCCTGCAATCATAGATATAGAGTGCGGAGATAGACGGCGAGAAGAATCTTTAGAAGGAAGAGGGATGAAGTGTTGCAACCCTAGAGAGAGAAACTAGAGGAATAGTGAAACCGACTTCTAGATCTTGATCTTTATTACCGTGTTCTTGTGGGCTTTCCTTATATGAGAGAATCACATTGAGCCACATGGAAATTATAGTAGACAGATAGATAGAGTATGTGGCCAAGTTGAGAGTGAGCGAAGGTCACCTCCAAGTTCCATGCTAGACATCAAGAAAGATCTGTAAGCATTTGCTCTTGCTGTGAGGTGTCTCATAATGGCGTCCCTCTTCCTCTCCATTCATGCTTTTGGGATAAGACTGGTCATTAAATTTTTGGATTATACTCATGATTTATGTTCTTTGATTACACTCATGGTTGACATTTGGATTTGAATCTTGCATGACTGTCACTTCAACAATTTGGAATAATATAACCAGGTAATATGCACATCTGTGGTTGTTATTTCGAATGATACTCAAATATCTCCACTTGGAGGGTGTTTCTAGGAGGTAATATGTGCTTGATCATGTTACTCTGAGATTTATATGTCGTAAATTTATAAATAACACTTTCATGGTGCAACGATCTTCCTTCTCAATGCTGTACTATTGTTGTATGTATGAAGATTGAATTTAGTTCTGATGAACTACTCTCTGCTAATTACTGGTCTTTCTCTTGTTTTATGTGAGATGCATTGATTGGGGGTTTGGCCATTGATTTGCTTGGATTTTATAATGATGGGGTTTCATCAGATGAATTGAAATAAGCAATTTTCTCTTGATGAATTGGGTACATGTGATTTTGTTTGTTGTTAAAAAAGAGTTTAACGTTTTATGTTTGTTCTTTATGGAAGGTGGAGGAGCCAACTTATGTGGCGTGTCTTCTTTACATCTGCTGTAGTAGCAGTTGTGGTGCGTTCTGCTATGGGCTGGTGTAAAAATGGGAACTGTGGCCATTTTGGCTCTGGAGGCTTCATAATCTGGGACATTTCCGGGTTAGATTATATTGTTTATAAAATGCGTTTCTCTATGGCTTTGGAGCAAGGTATTCCTTGCTAGTTTTTCACCTATTTAATGACTACTTTTATCTTTTTTAGTGGGCAGGAAGACTATTCCTTTAAGGAGTTGTTACCAATGGCTGTTATTGGTGTAATTGGCGGCCTTCTTGGTGGGTGTGGCATGAAGAGATCTCATCACTCTGTTTGTTGAAAATCAGCTTCAGTTTTTTCAATGTGTGATAAGCATTCCTTCTTATAATTTGTATCTTCTTGCTTGTTCTTTCTAGGGGCTCTTTTTAATCAGCTTACATTATATATAGCCTCTTGGCGTCGAAATCATTTACATAAGAAAGGGACTCGATTCAAGGTATCAGTTTGGTTTATGTGTATTCCCAATAACTGAGCTTTATATTATGTTTCCATGGACTTCTGAATTTTTCATTGTGAAGCATTTGCATTTGTTTTAAATTTTTACTTTCTTTCTCTCTTGCAGATTATTGAAGTATGCTTGGTATCTTTGATTACATCAGCTATTTCATTTGGTTTGCCATTGTTAAGGAAATGTAGTCCCTGCCCTGATTCTGAAGCTAATTCCAGTATTGAGTGCCCTCGCAAGCCAGGGATGTATGGAAATTATGTAAATGTGAGTTAAATCCTCTATTCCAAGTCCCATATTGATTTGATCCATGGCCACTGATAGATACTGCGTTTCTGTTTTTCTTTCCTTTTTACAGTTGAATTATTTCTTATGCCCTCCAATTTCTTGTTAAACAACTGTCATGTTAGCTTTCATAGTACAGTTTAATTTGCGTGATGCTTCCCTGTTATACATGCTTCTGTCCATATATTAATAAACCCATTATCGTCCCTGATTTGAAACAATTTTCTTTTACTTTTGCAGTTTTATTGTGTCAAGGATAAGGAATACAATGACCTGGCTACAATTTTTTTCAACACTCAGGTCTGTATCTGGCTGCTCCCAACTACTCATCTGAAGAATGTTTGACAATTCCGTTTTCCTCATTTAGTGCAAACGTGTTATTCCTTTCAGGATGATGCCATACGCAATTTATTCAGTGCAAAAACTTTTCATGAATACAGTGCTCAAAGTCTTCTTACATTTTTGGTATGATTCTTCCTCTGCTGTGTGCATGAAGAAGGTTCACACATGACTAACTCGTCAGTTCTTTTCTTATTTATCTGCTTTAAAGGGAAATTATAAACTTTCCCAACCTGATGAGTTTGTATAGTATCAAACATTGAATTTTCCATTTTGTTTAAGTGCCTTTTTATTCTTCAAATTCCCAAACAAAAATAACAGAGGAAACTGCAATGATAGCCAAACTGTTACATATGATGCTTATGAAGAGCTCCTAAACTAGCACATATGATGCTTTATGAAGAGCTCCTAAACTAGCACATATGAATAGAGTAGAGATAAAAGACATGTACAGCGTGATGTTGGAGTTATTTCATTTTTTGTCCCCAAAATATATATACTGTATGTATGTATGTATGTATGTATGTATATATGTATGTCACATAGGGTGTTATGGAAATTCTAGAAGAGAGTAGAGATAAGAGACTGTACAGTGTGATGCTGCAGTCATTGTTCCGTTGTCCCCAGGATATGTGTGTGTGTGTATGTGCGCGGGCACGTCGTGCGTGGGTGTGTGCTTGCAGGCATACTTGCATGTGTGCTCACTTCAGAAATACCTATTTCTTCGTCATTTCGTGTTGTCTTTTAGTTTTGCGCAACCTCACTCGTTGGCGACCATCTCAGCTTCTAGATCCATGGTCTTCACATGTGAGTGTCCCGCCCCACTTGCATGTGCTCAGGTGTTTTGATTTAAATTATGTGAATCCAATTAAAGAAGGTAGACCAGAGAAAGCACAGAAATAGGAAGAACAACTTCAATTTAATATATTGGAATACCGAAATAGTTACAGAGTGAATGGGTTTGTGAATTTCTCGGATAAGAATTTAGCCAATCCTCGTAGACCTCCAGCTTATATATTGCCAGAGGATGCCCACTCACTCAACTTGATGTGCGGATATGCCGGATGAGGTTTCTACATCAATGTTTCCTGCAGGGAATGTGGTCCCGCCTTGTTCGAGATAGTGACAGAGACGGTGTGCCCCAATTCTGGTATCAATTAATCTCTTTGATCGAGGTTGATTTGCTCCAAAAGGTCATTTTTTTACCTTGGAATCTTGTTCACTTGCTGTAATTACCCACTTTGATGTTTAGGGATTTGGGGTTTGCTACGGGTAACCTACGCAATTTTATATTTTTGGATATTTTTAGGGAAATTATGGGTATTTTTCTATTTTTGGAGGATCTTTGGATATTTTCCTATTTCCTGAGGGTATTCTTGGTATTTGAGATTTTAGGTGAGGGAAGTTTAGGTATGGGGTTTTGTTTCGATTTGGGGTTTGCTAGGGGTAGCCTACGCAATTTTATTTTTTGAAGATTTTTAGGGAAATTTTGGGTATTTTTCTATTTTTGGAGGATCTTTGGATAGTTTCCTATTTCTTGAGGGTATTCTTGGAATTTGAGATTTTGGGTGAGGGTAGTTTTGGGATGGGGATTTGTATCGCACTCTAGGTCTAGGTTCCTGCACTCTCTTACTAGGTTTTTTTTTGATGAGGTAAAAATTGTATTGGAGGAAGTTATTGGGATTACTAGGCTCTCTCTGTAGTTTCTCGAACTAAGGTTTCTAACCCTTTGAAAGTAAGGGTCCATGGGTTTATATAGAATTTTTAGAGCATGGGTGGAAAATCAGTAGTGGGTCTAATTGGTGGGTGGATTTATCAGAAACTGGCTCAAGCTACACAAAAAAAGAGCATTTTGGAAGGGCCAAACCTGGGAAGTTTCGTGCATCTGCCCTTGGATAACTTCTCTCTCATTCCTCCATCCAAATCTCCTTGTTTGATGCACTTTTATTCAATGTTTGCTCAATTTTTTTCCACATTTTTTGTAGAGCATCTTACTATGATTATATTCCTTTGGATAAAAAACTCCAAGATTTGAAGGAGTTATGATCAAATTGTGGATTTGACATCAAAACTTGAAAAACTCTCATGCTACTTTGATTTTTTTTTGAATTTCACCTTTTATTGGCTGTTATCTGATGATCCATCACTACAAAACTGTGAGGAATCATCTTTGAAGTAGTTGGGAAGAACTTTGGAGCATAAACTCCAAGAATCAAGGAGTTATGATCATTTTATTGGCTATTTGTTTTGCAAAATTCAGCGGTTTCCATTTTTTTGGGCAACTTCTCTCTACAATCTGACCCCCAACTCAGTTTTAAACCCACAACAAATTATATTGATGTTTATGGAGTTGGATGAAGACCATATTTGCAAAATTTCAATTCAAAATGCTTCACGGATTGCGAGATGAGTCAAAAAGTGGATCGAGTTTTGAGGACTGTTTCATTTGGTCAAGAATTCCTTAGGATTCCTTTGTAAATTGTGGGTCTATTTGAGCCCAGATTGGCACTCTCTTTGTGACCTTTTAACTTTGCACGCTTATATCTTGGTCATTTAGTATTTGATTGACCTGAGTTTTGGATGATGCATTCAGAACTCCTTTGATTAAAGTTCAGATCGGATGACTATTTGGGGCAGGTTTGACCATACTCCATTCCGGAGGAGCTGTTCACCAGTTTTAACCTTCAACTAGTCGGATTTCTTTCATTTTCACCTGGGAGTTACCTCTCCACATATTTGGGGGGTCTATCAATTTTGAGCCCAATTTGAGACTGCTCTCATCTACTGTATCCAGTTTTGGTGATTCTTGCGATATGCTGGTAGTTGTCGTGTTGGGAGCTTATTCCGCTGGTCGACCCTATTTATTGCCATTGTTGGGTCACTGTTTGGCAACTTAGGGTTTCCGTTAAGGTCCAAAATTCATGGTTTCACCTGCCTAGGACTGTAATCTAGTTTTGTGCTCCACACCCATAGTGACTAGCCCTTGGGCGACCCAAAACAATTTGCCGATTACTTCAATTGTCTCATTTTTGGGTCTGAAATGGAGATATATTTCAATGTGTTATTCTCTTTCACAAAAAACTGGCTTCAATGCTACATGAATCACCATTTAATTATCCCCTATACTTCTTGAAGTGCAATTAACTTTACCTTAGGTGCGTAGTAAAGCGTTCAATCACTCTATAGAAGAGTAGAAGTTTTGAAGCTATGCTAAAAAGTCCTTAATGTTACTCGTTAATGTTTCTAATGCCCTTTAACTAGGCTGCACGCATTTGCGTTTGCTATTTTAGAATAATGTGGGATAAATTACCCAAAAAATGCAATAAAAATTTCTCTCTTGAAAGGGCCCAGCAATTAAAAAAAAAAAGGGTTGTTAGCTAAATTTGGCTGGAATGTCCTAAGACAAACATAAATAAATGCCCCAAAAGAATTTAGTCTGTTTGTAACTATTGTCATTTACAGTACTTTTCAAGTTCATAAATGTATATCAAAGATGCCCAACTCTCCCAAAAGATATGCAAATATCTTAAAGTTGATATTCAATCTTAAGTTATGGCGGTTTGAATTAGGGGAATAAAGAATCAGCAATATTATAACTCGAGTTATCCCCATTGTTACCACAAGAGAAAATTTCTCCTTATAATCACCCTATGTAGATGCCGTTTTCGACTAGTTGTGTCTTATGTCTCTCTGCACTCACATCTGATTTATTTGGTGGATTGATTCCCCTATGGCCTTCTTCCCTTTGGGAAGCAGAAGAAATTCTATTTCTATGGAGGGCCTATACGTCTTTTGCTATGACGTTCTCCGCACAAGAAATGAACCCTTATAATTCTTTTATTGGATCACTAGGCCATGTAAAAGCCCTTATAATTCTTTATTGGATCACTAGGCCATGTAAAATTGTTAGGTTTGAAGAGTGCAGGGAAGCAATAAAATAATGATTAATGGCGGTATCGTACAAAGCATTCAATGGGTTAGTGATTTAAAAAACAAAATCAATTATACATTGTTAGTGTTGAATCTCTTGTGCAAGTTAGTGAACTTAGGGAATTGTACGCATGATTCAGCGATTCAGCATAACTTGCAGAGTTCGGTGATAGTTTTGAAATATACTGCTGGCTTGGATTAAGCCCAATATTTTCACTCTTTTTCCAACCCTGCTTTTTCACGTTCTTTTCATCCAGGGCTTGGATTAAGCCAAATTTTAGGTGTCATTTTTGCGTGATCTGTCGATAGGATAGATCAGATTTGAGAACAAAACTTAGTTTTGATGGATTTGAGAGATAAGAAATCAACTTACGTTTTTTGCTGAATTCGAAAAGTTGCGATTTCTTTGCAACTGCTGGTCGATCTTGGATGAAATTGCTTTCTTAAGGCTATTTTTGGGTTCAATATTTTTCACTCTTTTTCCAATCCCCCTTTTTCACTTTTCTCTTTAGCCAGGGCTTGGATTAAGCCAAATTTTAGGTCTCATATTTGCGTGATCTGTCAATAGGATAGATCAGATATGAGAACAAAACTCAGATTTGATGGATTTGAGAGATAAAAAATCAACTTCACGTTTTTTGCCGAATTCAAAAAGATGTGATTTCTTTGCAACCGCTGGTCGATCTTGGATGAAATTTCTTTTAGAGACTATTTTTGGGTTCTTAATGAATCGTAGAATATAACTGACCCAATTAGTTGGGATAGGGCTTGGATGATGATGATGATTGAATCGTGGGATTGTTTCTCATAAGAAACAACTAAAATCTCAGATTCTCGAGATTTGTATTTCTGATTTAGTATTGACTTGAAAATCAAGATCTAAATTGGAAGTTGAACCCTAAATCTGGTTTGGGGTTTTTTATTTGGGTGCTTGAGGACTCTTTGGCAAAGATTGAAGGCATTGATCTGTGTCTTGTGCAAAGATTTGAGGATCGGCCTCAAGATTTTTGATAAATTTCTTTTTTGTCAAATTAAATTCGTATATTTGATTTTATATATGTTTTTGATTCTATGTTAATAATTTCAAGTTTTCTTATTATGTGTACTTTTTATTTTTTATTATTATCTTCTGATTTTTCCTATTTTTTTGGGTTTTTTTCTAGCCTTTTTGGCCAACTCTGGTCAAACTAGGTGAGTCAACTTGGGACTCATCGAGCTGACTCCCTCAGGCCACGCTCCATGTTTTGCCTTCGAACCGAGTTTGCCAATACTGCTCCAAGCATCCAAAGCTGCAATAAAGAGATAAGGCTGACAATAAAGTTCGTGTAAATGGAGCAAAAATCCCAAAGTGTGTGTCAGTGTTCGCAAAACCGGCCGATGTAACCGCTAACTGGTCAGTTCCTGTTTTGGCTGGTTTTGGTGATCAACCAATATTTTAAACTTTAAATAGAATAGTACTTCAAATTCATATCAAATATATCAGAATGCTGTAGTGGTTACCTTTGGCGATTAGTTTTCATATGATTCAGGGTTCGATTCCCACCGCCGGCATTGTTTTCTTTTAAGCTAAATTCATTTCGCCTGCGTTGTTTTTTTTTAAGCTAAATTCATTTCGTTGGTACTAGACCCACTACCAAATATGCCAATTATTTTTAAGAGTAATCACACTATGAGACCCTCCCACATCCATGTGAGTAGGACCCTAAAGAATCATCATTAAATTTTGACACAGATCTCTAGAAAAGTTATCAGTAAACCCATTCACTCAAGCCCCACACCCATGTGATAACTTTTCTAGAGATTTGTGTCAAAATTTAATGGTGATCCTTTGGGGTCTTACTCACATGGGTGTGGGAGGGTCTCATAATGTCATTACTTTGTTTTTAAATAAGGGTCTATATTATATATAATATAAATTTTTTTTTTTTTAAAAAGATAAATTTCTTTAAAAAACGATCATTTTCTTTCTATTTCTACTAGACCCACTAACCAATATGCCAACTTGGTTGATAAAAATAAGGGCTTATATTATATATAACCTAATTTTTTCTTCATTTTCTTTAAAAAATAAAGATCATTTTCTTTTAAAAAAAGAGTTGGTCAAGTCAATTTTTGAACGCTATTTTAATATTCTTTACATTATGGTAAAGATTAAAAAAATTTGGTCATTGATACTCACTTTTGTATTTTCCTATCTTTTTCAGAAAATTTTAGGCACAAATCAACTCGTTAAAATCTATTTTTTCATTAATTTTCAACTTCATTTGAGTGTGTTATGTTTTAATCACATTCTTTATATGCTTTTCATATTTTATTAGATTTTTTTTTGTATCTTTTTTACTTTTTTAACACTTTTTTGATCGTTTGGGACTTGCCTGGTTAGAGCGGTTGAATCGGCCGGTTTACCAGTTAGGCTGGTTAAATCGCTTCTAGGCCCATGTCCGGTTAACCGTTCCAGTTCGATTTTGCGAACACTGGTGTGTGTGCTTAAGTAAAGAACCTATAAGAGAACCTTCAGTGAAGTATTTGTTATATATTATCTGGGATCTGTATCTGATTTCCACAAAACTTGGTAGAGGTGCAAAGTGACTAGGGTATCCCTAACAATAGTAAAAGACTACATGTATTTAGTCTCTTACATGCAGAAAATTTATCTTGAAAAGAAATTCAAACTTGAACCAATTTCATTATCAACAAACCTATCAGATATTGGCCTTTGTGCACTAGATGCCCACCTCCATAGTATATCCACTTTGAGCTTTCTAAACTCATGAAGTGCAAAATTCTAAATATTTTCCATGAGTTAGATCTTTTCCTTGACTAGATTCTGAAATTTCTGATAGGAGTTGGTTTGAATTGTATTTTACTCTTTTGACATGTAGTCGTTTAAAATTCACTGACCTTAAAATGTGCTAAACTTTGTTGCATCAGGGTTTCAAAGATTAGGATTTGAAAAATGAAGAATACTGATTCCTATTGATGGATTAAGTTTCTTATCTACAAGTGTACTTATCTCATCATCATCCTCAAAGCCTTTTCCCAACTATTTGGGTCAGCTACACAAATCCCGGTCCGTCATTTTGCTCTATCAAGGGCCATACCTTCAGTGAGGTCATAAGTCCCCATATCTTTTCTCACTACTTTCAACCATGCCCTTTTGGCCATACGCCTTCTCTTTTTTGAGCCTTCCACTTGAACTAGCTCACACCTCCTAATAGGTGCTGTACTGGGTCTGCACTGCACATGGCCAGCCCATTTGAGTCTACTTTCTCTCATCTTATCGCCTATTAGTGCCATACCTAAGTTCTTTCGAATGTATTCATGTCAAATACTAGCCCGTCTTATCTTGCCACTCATCCATCTCAACATCCTCATCTCAGCTACACTCATTCTATGGCTATGTTGCCTCTTGACTGCTCAACATGCAGCCCCATTAAGCAATGCTGGTCTCACGACTGTCCTATAGAACTTGCCCTTTAGCTTCATTGGTATTCTGCGATCACATAAAACTCCGGTTGCACATCTTCACTTTGCTCACCCAGCTCTAATCTATGTGTGACATCTTCCGCAATCTCTCATTTTTTTCTATCTGGATTATTGACTCAAGGTATTGAAAGCATGCTCTTTTTGTTATTTCTTTGCTGTCAATCTTAACTACTTCTTCGTGTCTACTCCTATTATTACTGAACTTGCATTCCATACAAGTGTATTTATCTAAAGAGTTGAATTATTAAAATATCTTTCAATGATAACATACAAAGCCTAGATGGACATTAGGAAGTTACCCATTATTACATACAAATATGCAAAACCAATTGACATTCTACATTATGCTGATGATGGGGTGCATGCAGATGAGGAATATTCAAGTATACTCGAGACGCCTTTAAGCATTTCGGCAATATTCTATGTCAAACTACAATCACAATGGTGGATCCAAGTCTCTCTAGGGCTCATAACCATGGGTTGTTTATTTAGGAATGTAGGTTTTTTGATTCTGCCGGTCCATAGGGAGTGATGGATGTGGAAGATGAGCTAGGTAACTTTGCTTCATGCATAGTTGAAAATGGATCTTGCACTGCAGAGATGAAAATTGATAACTTTCTTTTGTGTTTCATGCTGGAGGCTTACCTCCACTTCAGTGCTTTTAGTACATTGCTTTAGTGTTTACTCGTCGCTGCTGCTGGTGTCGGTCACAAAAGTCTATCTGGTCTGCAAATTGGCTTTGGGGGTGGGGTAGAGGGGAAGTATGAGTGATTTATGTGAGTCATGTTTTGTGAATGTCTGCAGTGGCTTGTCTAGTTGATTTTTGTCTTCTACAGTTTTTGTTGGTGGTGGTTGTGCTTTGTTCTTATATGCTCCAATGATATTTGTTTCTCTGAATGTTTCTTTGTCATGAATATTATCTATATTAATATATTAATAGAAAACAGTTATTGTCCATTGTATATTTTGGTGTTCAATTCAGTTTATATTTTTAAATCATAAATTTTTTGCTGTCACCTGCCAGTGCTTGGAGCATAGTGATTTGTGCTTCGACATGGTACTTCCTATTTGCCAATCTTGTACTTTCATGGGGACATTTCTTAATTACTCCTCCATTGACCAGGAGTTTTTCCTTATGTAACTTCTAGATTCCCATACCTATTATTCTTTTTAAAGACTAACTTTGCTCTATTTATTGCACAAAATGTTAATTATGCTAAAAATTGAAATATATATTAGTCTCAGCTAGATTCCTTGATCTACTTCCAGAACATGTTCTGATCAATATTTTCCTTGATTTACTTGTCAGGTTATGTTTTATTCTCTTGCAGTGGTGACATATGGAACCGCTGTACCAGCGGGCCAGTTTGTTCCTGGAATAATGATAGGGTCAACCTATGGACGCCTTGTTGGAATGTTTGTGGTCAACTTTTACAAGAAGCTCAATGTTGAGGAAGGAACGTGAGTTCTGCACTTAGGACATTGAAATTCTTGATTCCTTTGTTTTGAAGCTAAAATTTACATCCTTTATTTTCTGGATGACCATTGGCATCTTAGTGCTCATTCCTTATTTGTTAGGAAACATTAAATTATACTCCTGTAGGTTTATTCTGTCATATTTCAACAGATAGATTTTATACCTAAGTTGATCTTTTTGTCTATTAGTTAGAGAAAGAAGAATAACTCCATAAACATGACATTTAAGGACTGAACCTTCTCTATCAATCGTCATATATTGACTTGTCATCTTAAACAAGTATTGACCTATTGGGGAATGATACTCTTTTGGATTCAAATGAAATTATAGATCCAACAAGTGCTAATGGGAGTATGCTCATCTATGATCAAGGTTTCAAACAACGGTCCGCCCGGCGACTAGGCGCCCAAGACACATCTGACCAAATACTTAGACCTGGGCACCCTGTTCTGGGCCATTGTACCTAGGCGGGCGCCCATGGAAGTGGGTCCTTTTTCGATTTAAAGATGCCTAGAAGGGAAAAGGGGTAATTTTGATCCCCAAAACATTTAAATAGGTTAGGGGGGTTGTTTTCAACCCCCCAAAGTTAAAAGAACACTTCCATAAGCCCTCAATTTCTTAGCTATACCTATTTTTGGGAGTGCAAAATATTTTTTGTGGTTGAAGAAGCTTTCTGAACTAAACTTTTCTTTTCTCATTGGAATTATTTTTAAGGTGCTATTGGATGTATTAGAAGACTTTTGAGGTGATTAGTAGCTCTTTTGATTTCACAAACATCGAAGAGCAGAGATTGGGCAAAAAATGTTAGTTTGTAATTTTTGTTTGAGTTCCATTTTTCGGATTTGAGATGTCTTCTGCGGGGTCTATTAGGAGTGGGGATCTGGGATGGAAGTATTGTGTTAACCTGGATAAGAATGACACAAATAAAATTATGTGCAATTTTTGTAGACATATTTCTAATACCGGCATAGATAGATTCAAGAAACATATTACCTGCATTAGAGGTGATGTTGCCCCGTATAAGAAGGTCTCAGAGCTTGTAAGGAAAAAATTTCTAAGTACATTGAATCTGAAAAAAGGATAAAAAATAACAAAAGAAATGGATATAGCAGAATTGTGGGTAGGGGTCCATATTTTTGATGATGATGTTGACACTGATGAGGATGAAGGGGAAGTCGAGGTCGGCATGGTTGCTACTCAGAGCTCTACGAGTAAGATGGGTTTTGGGTCTATGAGGCCTCGTATGAAAGGGCCTATTGATAGTTTTTTTACACCTAACCCCGAGATAGTAATTGAGAAATGGAAGGGTAAGGGGAAAAAGAAAGTTACAATTGGAAATAGATTTAAGAAGGAAAATAGAGGCCTGGTGGTTCAATATCTTGCTTGGTGGTTTTACCATGTGGACATTTCTTTTAATGCCCACTCGCTTGAATAGCTTTCCATACAATATTGGAAGCAATTGGGAAATTTGGGCCAGGGTTGAAAGGCCCAAGTCCATATGAGCTTGGCGAGCCATTATCTAAGAAAGAAGTTGAACATACTAAGGAATATCTCAAGACCCATAAGGATGTGTGGCTAAATTTGACTTTTCTTTAATGACCGATTCATGGAGTGATAGGAGGAGTACCATGAATTTGTTAGTAAATTGTCCTTTGGGTACAGTTCTTTTGCAATCCATTAATGCTTCTGATGATATTTATGATGTTCATCATATATTTTCCTTTATTGATAATGATATTGAGGAGGTTGGGGAGGAGCATGGAATTCAAGTGGTCACAGATAATGTTGCTCCCAATATAGCTGCAAGTCATTTGCTTCACCAGAAGAAGCCTCACATATTTTGGACTCCTTGTGTTGCACATTGCATAGATATGCTATTAAAGGAGTTGTTTCTAAGCCTAAGAAGGTTACAATCTTCATATACAATCACATTATTACCCTTACCATGAGGCACAACTTTACTAAGAAGAGGGATCTAGTGAAGCCTGGGGTCACTAGATTTTCCACTGCAGTCTTTAGTCTTCAGAGCATGTATAAATGGAGGATCCTATTGAGGACTATGTTTGCTTCAAAGGATAATAGTAGGTGTATGTGGTCTAGAGATGTCAAGGGTAAGAAGGCACGAAATATTATTCATTCTAAATATTTTTGTTGTGGGGTAAAGCATGCGATATTAGTATTTGTACCTTTGGTGAATGTCTAACACATGGTTGATGCTTATAAGCCTTCTATGTGCTTTATATATGATGCACTTGAAGGAGCTATGAAAGAGATTGCAGAGAACTTGGGCAATGATGAGGCCAAGTACAGTCCAATTTGGGAGATTATAGATGCTAAGTGGGGGATAGGCAGCTCCAGAGATCATTGCATCCAGCGGGGTGCTTACTTGAACCCAAGTTCCTTCATGCTGATGTTGATATTGAGGCAAAAGATACAATTATGGATGATTTTAATGAGTGCCTTGAGAGATTAGTTCCCGATCCAAATTTCCAAGATAAGATATCAACTGAAGAGCTCATTTCGTACAAGTGTGCTTTGATGTCATCCGGGAAAGATATGGCAATAAGTCAAAAGAAAAGTCGAACCAGGTAATAATATTATATTTTGTATTTTTGTTTGAAAGTTTTCTTTCAAGTTTCTAAAAATTCTATGATAATGTTAAATACCTAAATGACTTATAAAAGTTGCCCACATATTGTAGCCCAATGGTGGAGACTACATGGGATGTAAAGCTCCACACCTCCAGAAGATGGCTATTCGGATCTTGAGTTTAACAACTACCTCTTCTGTTTATAGTGCAATTGGAGTTTGTTTGAGATGACATTATTATTTTTTTTGTTTGCTAGTTCATTTTTAATATAGATTCATAGAAGATAATAAATAATTAGAACATATTAACATATGATATAATAGATTACTAACAGATGGCTTAGTTAGTAATAATAGTAATAATAGTAGACTTGTAGTACACTAGTAGTCTAGTACTCATGCATTCTTTCCTATAAGTGCATATAAAGAGAAGAAATAGGCTTGAGCAAAGGAAGCTCAATGACTTGGTTTTTGTTAGAGAGAATTAGAGGGTCATGGAGAAGTTTAACTAGTAAACGAAGGATCTCATCATTTCAAAAGACATGGAGAATGCTTCCAATTGGCTAGTTGGGGACTCTGGTAGTGAGGAGGTCTTCCCCGGGGATGGTTTGACCTGGAAATGGTTGATGAGGCTTTGGGTCGGCTTTTAATCCTAGGAGGGCCACTCGAGCAAGGGCCACTCGAGCAACGACTGCGACTGGTACCTCACACTCACATAGGGAGAGGGAGATAGAGGAGGAGGCAAATTCAGAAGAAACTGCGAAAAAAGAGCAAAATGCTAAAGAGGGTGACGAACACACACACGCACACACACACACACACCGCCCGTTTATGTTGTGTGATAATTATGACATCATCATGGAAGGGCTGGTGGCTTGGAGGGTTAGGAGTTGTTTGGTGCTCCCTCATGTGGCATCTATTCGTTTCTTTGGAATTCGGGTACATCCCCTGTAGTCGATACCTTATTTATTATGCATTTTGAATTTAGTGCCAAGAGGAGCTAATAATCTATTGGTTTCTATTCATTGTTCTCCTACTTTCCATAGTCTGATTTTGTGTTTTGAGGTTTCCTGAAGTGGATTGGGAAACTCTTGTGACAATGGGTAAGTTAAATGTGTCTTTGTCGATTATTTTCTGTACTTGAGGTGTTAGTCTAATAGTTTTGCTCTTCCTATGAATTTTGTGGATGGGTTGCAGGAGCAGCAGCTATGGGTATTTCAGGGCATTGCAGATTTGACAGAAACTTATTTGTTTTTTTTTGGATTTGGATTAGCCTTTCTCAATATTCTTTCAGAATTCATGTAGGCTGAGTTTGTGTTTTCCTATCTTAATTACCTCTTTAGCATCAATCTTTTTATTTAAAAAAATAAAATATGTTGTGCCCCGCATCCCCACCTGTCTCTCCCCCCCTCGTCCCCCCCCCCCCATCACAATCTAAAACTGGGAAGACTGAACCTTTGCCTAGTTACCCCCTATGACTCAGCACACCCCACAACTGATTACTGAACCGATGGTGCACTTGATCCTTAGTCGAATCCTTAAAACTCGGAAGCACCTTTGGAATACCGTATCACAAAACCATGGGGCTAGAGCATGGGTTACTACTATTAGGATTTCCTTTTTTTTAAAACTATGGGGCATGTGCCACTGTGTGATACCTCCCCTAACCGACATCAGGGCTGGGGGTACCCTCTCTGTATATCCTAGGTGGTGCATGCCACTCCAAGGTCTCTAGGTCGGGGGCATGCAATATAT